TTACGCCCCCCCCCCCTTTTGAAAATTTCGTTTTTTGCTCACCAAAACAGAAAAAGCATTTACGCCCCCCTGCTTCCAAAAGTTTCATTTTTTAGGTCATGAAAACAGAAAAATTAGAGTTATGCCCCCCTGCTCTGAGACCAGACTTACGCCCCTGGTACCGGTCGGTCCAAAAATCGCAAATTATGCAATAGCTTTTAATGTTCAAGCACAAATTTTTCAATTCACTTTTTTTGTTTTCATACATTTGATCAGTATGTCGACTAATCTAGTATAAAAAGTATAATTTAGTAATAATATAGGCTTGTATAAGTAAAAATAGTCTTTTTACCGTGATAGGCGATGGAATGATTTCTTTTACACAAATGCTTGACGTATCCAGGTCGACCAGTCCAAGAGTAGGCAACAATCGGAACCCATCCGATCCGACTCACATCAAGTAGGATCTTATCGGATTTTGTCGAACCCTACAGACCTATCGTCGGATTCCTATAAATTACAAAGAAACACTGTTAGATGTCATTGGAAGTTCAATGGGTTCTGGCTAGTGGTTCCGACTTCAATTCCTCGACCAGGAATCCTATAAGATTCTGTTGGATAGTAGGATACTATCAAGTTCCTATCGGATTCGATGTGGGATTTCTCGACCTGGGTAGGACTAAAATGTCGACCAGCATCAAAAACAGATTGAACCACTTTTAAAAATCCATCTCCAGACACCATTTCAAATGCACGTGAATCTAAAGCAGTAAACTCTGTGCAGATAATTTTCACTTTTTTCCCGAATTATTTTTAGTACACTGTGATTTTTTTGAAGAATAATATTCAGTAACTTGTGTTTGTTTAACTGAATCTTTGACCGAAGTATGATCAGTCGTTTGACAGGAACGTTTATGTTTAGCTAAAGATGCTGTGCCATCTCTGGGTGTATATGCTAATAATTGCTTGCATTTTTCGCAGCACATCATTCCTTGTGTAACATTATTAATAACCACAATATTAAAAGATTCTCATACAGAAGACGATTTAAGACTTTTTTTCGGTTTGTAAAATGTGATTGATTTATCTTCATTCTTTATCAAATCGGCTAATTTTTTCTTCTTTTCGAAAAAATTATATTAACACGAAGCATTGCCAGTTAATATTTTAGAGAATTGTAAATAGTGTACAGTACATGTTTTATTGTATGAAATTAAGTTGAAATATTAGCACTGAGAAAAATATAAAAAAGAATTAAAAAAAATATGTTACTTTTTTCATGAACCGCACGAATCTCAAGTTTTTCTTTTTCTGGAAGATGATTATGATTGCCAACAGCTTTTATTAATCGATTATTTGAATCAGTATGCACGTTGAGCTGCACAACCATTAATAGTGCATATCCAATACTTAGTAGTTGGCGTTGCTTTATTTAATTTAAAAGTATATTCATCGGCAACTAGTAGAGGTTTTCCTTTATTTGAATTTATAAATGAAATAGCTGGACATTTTGCTTGGATTTCACCAGTTAAAATTAGGAAAGCTTCAGCGATGACAATACAATTTTAGTTATATAATAATTCTTTGTTCAATTCTTTTATTGTACTTGTATCAACAGTTAGTCATCCCTATCAATACTGGCTAAAATTCTACACTAGTAAAATTATAAGAAAAAACAATGAAGTATATGTTATTATTATTAGAATCGCTATAAACTAGAGACATCATTATTTTTTTATTTTTCACTTTCGACATTTTTTCTTCACTTTTTCTATTTTCGACTTTTTTTCTTGCGACATTTTTCCAGCACACCGTTGATGTCATCCCAGATCGAGATTTACGGAGTTTGTATACGGCCGTTTACGATCGTATACATTCCTTTTACGACCGTATTTTACCGTATTACATTGCACAGTATTACGATCGTATATCTCCGTGTCGTATACGGAGAAAAACGATCGTAAACGGAGCAAAACGGAAACTGTATACAGACTTCGTATGCGTGGATCGTATACGACCGTTTTTTCACCGTATACGATACGGAGATTTACCATCGTAATACTGTGCCATGTAAATCGCCGTATTTCTCCGTATACGATCGTTTCCGACCGTGCCTGTTCGACCTGGGATAGTTACAATTAATAGCTAGAGCTACAACGATTTTCGTTCTTTCAATTTTTCATTTTTGCTTTCAGACTGAGTAAAATGGATTTATTCAAAGGTAAATATATATAATACAAAATATCGGCTATATAGTATTTTGTCAGAGTAGATTCTGCCAATCGGAATGGATGTTTCATTTTCTACTCTTCAATGAGACATAGTTCGTATTTAATTATGGGGAATATAACACTAAAATAAAATGAAATTGTACCAATCACAACCCTATTCCACTCTTCCCGGACGACTTCCCGGGGAGTCCCTGTCGTGGATCCCCGGGGATTTGTCAGGGGACTCTCTGGAGATTCTTCTAGGGAGAGTTGACTAGGGAATGGAAAATATCATACTCTTTTACCTCTCAAATCGGTTAAAGGCTAGAAACTTGCAATGTATTTCATAAAAAACAATACTAAATTTCATACAAATTTGGCTAAAAAAACTGCCAAACGAAGGGAACTCCTTTAGTAGTGCATAAAAGTTTCACATTTGTTTTGCTTCCTTTTTTGCTGTTTTGCAAATTTTAAAAATATTTTCGAAGGAATGATCATCTTTAGCATTCTTATATTTCTCACGATCTTCTGGCATACTGTTTACAATAATGCATAAAAACATTGTCCTTCTCTTTATTTTTCAATTATTATTCCCTTTTATGTCACATTCCTAAACTGGGAATCGATTTGAAAATACTAGTTAAAATATATTTCTCTATCTATTCGTCTACATTTCAGCATGAATATCCAGACTAGCAAATGCAAAAAAAAAGCTAGAATGAGCTCTATTTATCTTCCTTGACAAAAGCAATTTTGTTTTCATATGAAAAATTCATATAGATAGGCAAATTCGCCGCATCCAATGCACAATATACTCTATTTTCAGTATAGTATAGGGTGTCTTTTAAAGCAGTTCCTAAATTCCTAGTGCGAGAAATAAAGTGCAAATAAAAAAACTTCTTTCATTTTTGCCACCAATTCTGCATTTTCAGTTCGACCACTGATTGCTCAAAGCTGTCTTCAAAACATTTCATAATGGGACTGGTATATTTTTGAAAATTTATTACGCTTTAAATTGTAAGAAAAATTCCATTTTTATTACTGAATGAATTTCAGAAAAGAATGGTCGAAAATCCATTTCGATTGGTAGAGTTGGGCGAAAAGAATTCAACTCGGAATCATTTAGCAATTAGCATTTTATGTACTGAACCAACTCAACTGTCTGAATATGATCAATTTATTCGATATTGTCGATTATTATGCAAAGAAAGCGATGAACTAGACCACATTTCTGAATTCGAGCTTAGATACAATTCAGATCAAGCCGTTCAATGGTATACTCGACCATCTGGTTTTCCATCTAAATTAGTGAATAGAATTTGTCGAACAGAAAACCCTCGTTCGATTTGGAAAATTCGATATTTCCTTAAGCATCTTCATGAACAGTTATCACAAATTTATCAAAAGAGTCTTTTTTGGTTACCAAAATCCGTTGTTGTCTATCGTGGTCAAACACTATCATCTCAAGAATTTCAACAGCTAGTTCAATGGAATAAAAAAACTATTCTAACAACAACATATCTCTCAACAACAAGTGCTTATGATACAGCTGCTGCATTTGCTGATTGTGATATTCAGTCCCGTCAATCATTATCAAAAGATCAAATATCGATTATTTTTACAATTACACTACGAACAAAACATACTCGCTCAAGACCATTCGCATACATTCAAGAATATAGCCATGTTAGGGATGAGAAGGAAATATTAATCTCAATTGGAACGATATTTTCATGCATGGATATATGCAAACGAGGAGTAAGCGTATTAGAGAATAATATATTGACGGTAATTCGAGAAGCGAACAACATGTTTCTATCGTATTCAAATAGATTTTATTGATTTTGCTATAGAAAGATATCCCACAAAATAGTTCGAGAATATTTTCTATAGTGCAACTTAGTAGCATTACATATGAAGAAAGACGATAGAAACTCGTAATATTCGAAATATCTCAAGAGATCAAGTTTTCGTAAGCCAAATATTTATTTTTCTAGTCTTCGTAGGGAAAAAAATTATGCATACTTTTCGAAGGTATTGTGTGGAAGTCAGGTGTGCTGCGTCTTCATTCTTTGAGAACGAAGCACATGGGACCGGGGAACACTAATACCTCTAATGTGTGGTGGTTGAGAGAATCGAATATGCATGCATCAAAACAAACGAAATGCTATACATAGAAATTTCTTTTGTAAGATATGTACCGAACATGTAAAACTAATTTCTGTCTCATTGTGATTGTCGGCATAAAACAGGTCAGACTATTCAAAAAAATAGCCACTAAGTATAAGAAAAACAATTTTACAGAGTATCATTTCGAATACTGAGCATACGATTCGATACACATATTTTTATCGACCCCAACAACTACGTATCATGTTGTTCTTACTCCTATGAAGAATAAAACAATACATCTAAACACCAAAGCTATCAAGACTTCATACTTTCAGAGCTTTTTTATTTTCAAATTCTGTTGTCAGTATTTGTTTTCATTATAATGAAAAGAGGTTTCAGAATCAGTGACACAACCAATAGCATTGAAGCAACAACAAGTCTTATTCTGATAGATTAACTTCTACGAAATATCCCTGATTCATGATCAATATGAGGAAGAAATGGAAAAGAATATACAATACGAAGCAATAAAATCCTACCGTCATCCAACAGCAACAACAATAGGTGATTTTTTAATGTTGATGAATATTCCAAGTACACTAGACAATGATTTTTATGATCAATCATTGATATCATTGGTAGAACGATACTCGCAATGCAACTTAGAAGATGTTGTTGATTTAGGTAAAAATTGTGAATTAAGTTTTCTTCTGTGCATATTACATAATTGCTTTTAATGAACTTTTACCATCATGAAAAGAAAAAGACTAGTATTTGAGAGCATACATTTTCAAATTATCTGCAAAATTTCAATTATAATCATATACCTTCATTTTAAGGCGGCTAATAATGTGAAGATTTTGCTGAATTCGAAAACGTTACTATATAGAGAATCAGCTAGATCATATATATTTCTTACATCTTCAAATAGCGAATATATTTTTCTCGTGATGTTTTACTTTCCATAGAATATCGTTTAATGAATATATTAAATTTGCCTGTAGATGTAACACCTGATCATTTAGTGATATGGCTCGACACTTATATTGGCCAAGATTATGTTTATATTGATCTAAAACGTACGTTAGAAAATGCGATAGATCTCAACCCTGATGGACTTCTTACCTACTCGAAAATAGATGCACTCATCCTATGTAAACAAACTAATACGCTCCCAGAGAGACTAATAATCCCTGTTACAACAATCGAAGAATGTTTAGAATTGATTGATGAAAATCGACACAAAAAAATATTTCTAATAAGTTCTGGTACGCTAGGTCAACACCTTGTGCCTTATGTATTAAATTCTGGGCGATCTTTGGAAAAAATTTTTATTTTCTGCCACCATATAGCCAATCATGTTGACTGGGCAATGGACTTTACTGATCAGTTACTTATGTGTGATTTTCATACTCATCTATTTTCACGTGTTGTATATGAGATTGGTATGTATTACCAGAACCAAGCATTGCATTTCAGTGATTCAAATCAACATTCCCAAGCATTATCTTGTCTATATTATTGTCACAAGCAGCTCGTGCGAGCGAATCGTCTTTTTGGTCCACCAGCGCCGTACTCTTTGATAACAGTCGAACAATATATTGAAAGAGAAAAATTGCAGCAGTTCAAGCACTGAGCAATAGGAATTCCTAATGTGTCGAGGAATTATCAGTGCCGCTGTGATAATTCCTAGAGGAAATGGGAATCAACTATAGGTTCCCTCACAGTTCCACCATTCACGAAAGTTGCGATATTGGTGTTTTCAAAATAATTTTTGCATAAAACCATTGATTGTCACAATTTTTCCAGTGAAAATGAGTGTAAGAACAAAAATTATCGTGAATATTCCATATTTTTACTTTTAATATGCAAGGAACTGTAGGGAAACTCATGAAGAATTCCTAATCCTCAGTCCTTGGACACCCCTCAGAAACTGAATTGCCTTCGGATGTCGCACAGCGTCTACGTAATTATGTCTCATATGTTTAAATACTACTCATCTGAACCATACTGATTTCTACTCGTTATCAAAGACTAATTCGAATACTCATGGCCGTTCTAACTCGAAAACATCATATACTTATCAATCACAGTCACTAGTCAAATAGTATTCGATAATCAAATCTTTCATCATTACTGAATCTATCTACCAAATGATACATGCAATTACTGCAAATGAAATATTCCTCTCGATTTAAATTGAAAAGAACGCTATCCAAAATTATTTTCACCTTCTTCATTCGAACAAAGTACATGTAACTGTGCTTTTCGCATAACAATCGAGAGATTAAATGTTAATTGGCAAGTTGTCTAACAATCACGTAATACGCACATCTTCATGCAGCTCATTTCCACCTACAGACCATTTTATTCTCAGCAAATTTGACCCTATAGGCATTGTTTTTATATCAATAAAAAATTCGTATCTTTCTTCTTGTTTCAGTCAATCTTGATCTCATCGAATGATAATATTTATGAGAGGAAGAAAATGAATAAAAAACAAACAAAAAAGGGTGTCCACACAAATATTTGATCAGAAGAAAGTGACGGTTCATTCGTTTATCAAGAAAACAAAAATGCAATGTACCAATTAGTCAATACATAATTGATTAGATTCAATTGATGTAAGTCGTTTAGTATTCATAAAGATTGGTCGACACTTCTCAATATTTTTTTCTCCTCTACGCAATCTCAATCTATAAATATAAGCAGCGTCACGTTCATGAATTCACATTATTCTTCATTCGAATAAATTACTCATACTCATAACGATCGGTAAGAATGCACACTTGAATAATGATTGATTACACAGACACATTGTGTCTTGTGATTAAAATATAATATTGCTTTATCAATCCATCTTTTGCAAACAGTATATTTATGTTGTCATATTGTTTAGATAGACATGCAATCGTCGACTTCGTTTTCTTCAATGTCATCAACAGCATCAAGTTGTTCGTCTACCTATGCTTCACGAACAATACTCGAAGCAAAAGATTTGCCTTCAGCTGGACCACGATGCCGATCATCAATGATAGCATCTCTCGATAATGATGAAGGTGTGTTTTCTGAACCACCACCACCTCCTCCGCCACCACGTCGTCGCCGCACACAAATTCCATCAGCCAATAAATCTATGGCTAAATGTCGTCATCTTCTACGAACTTGTCTTACTTCAGCATCAGCACCTCTTTCGCTACTTACACCAACTAAACTCTCCGATTCAATCATTCGAAAGCAATATTTTGCACAATTATGTCATAATCATCGGTTACTACTTGTTCTCAATGATTACGAATGTAAATGTGGTTGTCGTTTTTCAATGAAACAAGGCGACTTTGTTATTTTATACGAAACAAGAAATGAATTATCGATGTGGTATAGAAATAAACTTGTAACAGTCATATCAAACGAATTAGTATGTTCAAAAATTCCTTGTGAATATGTATGTGATGTAAAATTGTTGCGTGAACGTGTTCGTTCGAGATATTGTTCTAGTGATGATGAGCAAAGTTTTGATTTGTAATTCATAAATTGTACATTGCATTTTTTTTAACAATAAAACTTCACAAGTACTCATCGTACAAATGTAAGAGGAAACGCTTTCTTGGATCGAGTGCTTTCATGAAAAAACTAATTATTCTAATATGGCTATCAAGCGGTTCAAGGCATTGACATACGAACTCAGTAATTAGTTTGTCACACCAGGTGTTTTCCTAGACGAGAATGAAATGTAACAATATGTCAAGATAAGGTCGTTCAATGTCAACAAAAACTATAATCTAGGTTTAAAATGAGTGACATATTACTAAATTTGTATATGTATCATTGTTTATCACGCAACGTTTTTCATATAGTATTTTGAAGAGTAACTTAACTAAAATTATTATTTATTTTTCATAATCAGTTACGCAATAGCTTCATCTAGGTGTTGAATGATGCTTTCTGTTTCGTAAGTGTCTATCATTCAGATGCGACCCTAATGAACAATAAGATGATCGTTTGAATGTTCGTCACAGTAGCTCTCTTAAGAATACTCATAAAAATATTAATGAATAACATAGGAATTCGTTACACACCTTAAGAAAGATGATGACGATATAGATAAATCATTTGACTCATTGGATCAAAGAAACAACATGTATCCGACACGCCTTATACAACTCTGAGTTTCTCCACAACTGGTAACATTAGCGCACAGTGCCATTTTTCTCATAGCTTCCTCTCGTATCGATTTCACCCGTGGACAACCAAAACAATTAATTATAATGATGCAACACAAAGAAAGTTTGTTGACATTTTTTTTTTCTAACAATACTGAGAAATGACTAAACTGAATTATCTTCTTTTTTTACTATATTTTACCGTGAAAAATTTTTCACGCATGAAACCAATCTTTCGCGTTCGTCATTTTCAGCGACGAATCAATATATACTAATACGCTTTTCTCATAACAATCGAGAGATTAGCGCTAATTGGTAAATTATTATCTAACAATCACATAATACAACAAATTCATGCAGCTCATTTTCACCTACAATCTATTTTATTATTAACAAATTTATCGTAACACTGAGATATGACAAATTCAACCGACTGTTCGTTCGATGGATTCCTCCAGGCATTGTTTCCTATAAACAACAAATTTGCGTCTTTCTTCTTGTTTCAGTCAATTTTGATGTTATCGAATGATAATATTTATGAGCGAAAAAATAATATAAAAAAGGTGTCCTCACAAACTGTTTTTGATCTGAAGAGCGAAAATTCACCAATTAGCCAATGGCTAATTGATTGGATTCAATTGATGTAAGTCGTTTAGTATTCATTAACATTAGCCAACACTTCTCTTCTTTTCTTCTCTTCTACGTAATCTTCATCTATAAATATAAGCAGAATCACATTCATCAATTCACTTCATTCTTGTATTTATTGGCGTTTTTTTTTCATTCGAATAAAACACTCACACATCGGTAAGAATGCATACTTGAATGATTGATTGGATAAATATTGCATCTCCTCTAATTGAAATGTCACACCTAAGATACGTTATTATTTAAGCGAGAGCATCTTCATACGACCACATACAGGTCACCACTGACTCGATATTGATAATCAGTATCCGTGATTATTGAGTTCATTTTGATTTTATTTAGGCAGTAATGCAACCGTCGGCTTCCCTCTCTTCGATTTCATCAACAGCATCGACTTGCTCGTCAACCTATACTTCTCGAACAATACTCGAAGCAAAAGATTTACCTTCAGCTGGACCACGATGCCGATCATCAATGATAGTTTTTCTCGATAATGATGAAGGTGTGTTTTCTGAACCCCCACTGCCACCTCCTCCGCCACCACCACGTCGTCGCCGAACACAAATTCCATCAGCCAACAGATCTATGGCTAAATGTCGTCATCTTCTTCGTACTTGTCTTACTTCAACTTCATCGCCTCTTTCGCTACCTACTTCAACTAAACTCTCCGATTCAATCATTCGAAAGCAATATTTTGCACAATTATGTCATAATCATCGGTTACTACTTGTTCTCAATGATTACGAATGTAAATGTGGTTGTCGTTTTTCAATGAAACAAGGCGACTTTGTTATTTTATACGAAACAAGAAATGAATTATCGATGTGGTATAGAAATAAACTTGTAACAGTCATATCAAACGAATTAGTATGTTCAAAAATTCCTTGTGAATATGTATGTGANTCGAAAGCAATATTTTGCACAATTATGTCATAATCATCGGTTACTACTTGTTCTCAATGATTACGAATGTAAATGTGGTTGTCGTTTTTCAATGAAACAAGGCGACTTTGTTATTTTATACGAAACAAGAAATGAATTATCGATGTGGTATAGAAATAAACTTGTAACAGTCATATCAAACGAATTAGTATGTTCAAAAATTCCTTGTGAATATGTATGTGACGTAAAATTGTTGCGTGAACGTGTTCGTTCGAGGCATTTTTCTAGTGATGATGAACAAAGTTTTGATTTGTAATAATAAATTGTATATTGCATTTTCTTTAAATAAGTATCTTGTTGAACTCTGATACATTGGGGAACTAATTCCGTCCTTGTAGTTTCATAATGAATTCATTTGTTGAATGTATCAATTGCCAGTGGTAGCGGTTCGGCTAATCCGTTCTTTGCCTATTTCCCGGATGGGCAATATAAGGGAAAGAGAGAGAAAAGGAAAGGAAAGGAAAGGATGATTATTTTTAGATACGATGATGATGATGATGATGATGATGATGTAATAATAAGTAAGTGAGTGTAGTAGAAGAAATTCAAACATAATAATGACGAAGAAAAATGGTTCGCTGTTGCTTTTGTTCAATATTTGTCATCAATTCCTTACTTCACATTTCCTTCTTTTTTTTTCTTACATTTCTAATACTACTATAATTGGAAACACGTCGATCGACATAGTTGCAAGGGCAATAGATGATGATAGAAACGTCTATCGATATGTAAAATATTTATTATTTGACTTTTCTCGGTATATTCTCATGTGTATACACTCACAAGTTGTTCAATAACAAGGTCGTATGTTGATAGTCTACTGCCATCTTCATTTGTAATTTGGATCGATGAACGGAACAAGAAAAGCAAACAAGAATTAAAAAAAAAGCGAACAAGATAACAAACACTGTGCGAGACACATGCATAAAAAACAACTCGGAGAAGAAAAAAAAATATGATAAAATAGAAAAGATAATTTGTTCTTCAGATTGTAATAAAAATGATGATCATTATATTAACTAATGATAATATCCATGAAGACAATAATTTTTCACTCGTAGCTTTAGAATATCCAAGCACTAGATGAGAAAGAAGCAGAATTGTAAAGTCGATTGAACTCAATAAGAACAGATTTATTTACCCGAAGACGTATGAAATATTTGAACACTCTTGCTAATTAAACCATTATCATAAATACATTCGAATAAACCTGAATCGTTCGATGATAAATTATTTATATGTAATATAAATGTAACTTGATTATTTTCAGAATGTTTATTTATTAGAGGTACATTTCTATGATGACTTATCGGACGTTTATTATGATACCATTTTATTTTCAATGGATCGATTATAGCTGTAGAAAGTTCTCGTACAGTACACGATAAATTAAGTGATCGTTGTAAATTATGTATTTCAATAATTCCATCATTAGGTAAAATTTTCATTGAAGCTTTAAATTAAAAAGAATTATATTCGAAAAGTTTGTCACACCAAAAAAAAAAAATAAGAAGTCACTCTTACGGGTAACAGTTAAATTATACATATTGGCTGTGGATTGATGTTGATTTGATTTACACATATAGAGTCCTTCGTCGGATAGATTTAATGGATTTATAGTTAATATGGATAAATGTGTTTGAGTTTGAGAATTAAAACCACTATAATCAACAATAAAACGTCGATTATTTTGAGCTAACCGACGTGCATTGGCATATAATGGTAACCATTTTATGCCATTTACTGTAGGAATTTTTGGTCGATAAACCCAAGTTATCTAAGATGTAAACGTTAAATAGGAAATGAAACGTAAGCGGTACAAAACATACAACGGCATTGAATGGTAATTGAGCAATTTCACATCGAAGTGAGATAGTGGAATCAAGTTCTCCACTTATATACCGGATGTTTGGCGAACCGACAAGACCTTGGTATAGTTAAAAGAAGGAAAAATTAAGATTTTAATTCGTTTCTCCTTTGAGATATATGTATATATATATTTCTTCTCCTGCTGTTCAATTTAATGATCATTCATAGGGCGGATCTATTATGTTTTGCTTTCTTGCCACTCTGATATATATATATATTAATAAAAGAATTTTCTTTCATCTTGTCCAACTGTTCTTTCAATTGTGATGCTCAATATGATTCCTTGATCACAAGTAAAACAAAATGAACAGTCATACATAGAAATCAATTTTTTTGTAGTGACCAAGGCACCGTACTGTTATCTTAACATTTTTTTGTCGGATGCATACGGCCTTCGGCAAACAACAATGGACAGATCCATCCTTCTTTCTTGCCTCGTAAATATTGTTGTTGTACACACGGGGGATTAATTAGCTATGCCCACCTTGACTTAACGGGTAGAGCACGCGCGACCAAATAGACGTGAAAAAAGTGTCTATATAAGTGAATGATTGTTTTGTTTATATTAGATGTGCATGTACGTACATAGTCTATCTTTAGAGGCATATTTGATGCACAATAAAAATTCCATAGAAAACTATTGATAAAATAACATGTATATTTACCGGTAATGGTAATGATAAGTAAAAACAGTTGAATAGTCATGATAGTAAATTGTTAAGTGTGTTGTTCATGGTGGCATATCACAATATGTTTGAATTGAAAAGATAGAGATATTGTTATGTGAACAGGGTGTGGCGAGACGATGAGATGTAAAACAAGGATTGATAAATTTGTTTCTTTAATTTTGTTCCGTCGTTCACTGATTAATAAATTGTCGTATGCCACGCTACCGTATGGAAAAAAATGAAAGAATAAATGTCTATATATGTGTGCGTGTGTCAAGTCGTTCTTCGGTTCAACAATTGGAGAAACGAGAGAACGAGAAGAGGAGAACGAGGGTATGCGTCTTATTCCCGAAAAAAATAACACTTACTCTTCCTTCTCTCCTAATCTTTCTTTCTCGCTTCTTGTACATATATGTATATAGAGCGACAGAGAAAGAGAGAGAGAGGGAAAGCTGTATTACATGGTCATGACTAATTGAGAAAAGTGAATCAAATTCATATTCTTTAAATCCTATGACATAAGACGATTTTGCCAGTCTTTGTATGTAGCTATATGTGATTATGTTTTCTTTCTTGTTTGATGAAATCAGAGCTATGTAGTGAGACATATCTTGAATCCTTTTTTTAAATAAGAAAAGAAGAAATACATACATACATACACACACTAATGATCTCAATGACAACCAATGTTGTTCATCATGAAGAAAACAGGCGGGACAATATAGCTACTATCGTTACTCATCTATTCACTATGAGTTCCGTCTGAGCTAATGAATAAATGAATTAATACCTACATGCAAAAGCACATTCACTTTTCTATAAACAATATCTAGCTATCTCTTAGCTGCCTCTCATCTAAGTATGTATGCACTAGTTGAAAAATGGGACGAGACGCCTGGCGATAATCTATTTGAATGTATGTATGTTCTTTAAAAAAATGTTATTCTTTTACATGCTCATGCCAGATATGCTCAATTGAAAACTGGATACAACGAATGAGTAACTAAATGAATGAACGAACATGAATATGAATAGTCCAAGTGTCAATGTGTCACTCATCAATATAGAATAGTAATACAAGGACAGTATTGAACTAATGGTTGAGCTCTTATTCTTCAGCAAAAGAGTCCACTTAAGGCACCATACAGACATCGCCGTATACATACAGATCTATATGAACGCGTGCGAGACAATATGATGCAATAACAACACATATATATCCAAGAGAAGAATGAAAGTCTAATTGTTCTTCACCACCTGTTCTTTTCTAATCGAATATTTGCTTGTTTGTTCAATTCTAGTGAGGACCTAACAACAACGCATCTGGCTAGGCTGTTGTTATACATTGTATATATCAATATATAGAATATGCTTGTATATGTGTGACTCTTTCTATCCCAATTTATTCAATGAATGAATGAATGAATAAATGATAGATATCATTCAATAAAAAGCTAAAAGCTTTTCTTCCCTTTTTCATGATTTGCCGCTCTAATTATTTTTCTCTCATTTCAAAATATAACAACAAAGCTTTTACTTTTCTCTTACACACGTGAAAGAAGAAGAAAAAAGTAGCTATTAAATTATGCTAGTAACAGTCGACTAGCTATTCTATTTTAGCTGTTCAAATCTCTCTCTCTCTCTCTCTCTCTTTCTCTCTCTATATATATATATATATATATATATATATACATGCGTGTATGTGCGTGAGTGTATCCAACGTAGACAGGTGATGCAACGCGGCAGCTGACTGGCACAAGTGCCCAGTCATTTTTACCTCGAAGATACAATCTTAAACACTTTTTGTTTATATACATATACGTATATGTTATGCTTTTGTTATGTAGTCCTTGTCTGCCAGCTACTATCGTCTGAGATGAATTCATTCTACTTTGGTAAATAGAATAACTTAAAATCAATTAAGAAATATAGTATAAATAATAGAGAACGATAGTTTTGATTCATGAATCAATATTCAACATGATTATCCACAATAGACGTGTAGCTATATATGACAAAGACTAATGAACAGAAAATCGTGACATAAGTAGGAAGTGTCATCTCCGGTTTAGTATGAATGACAGATAGACAGACAAAGAACGCTTCAAGTAATTTCAAGTTTTGTTTCCTTGACTAAACGTAGACAATATATTAACAACTTATCGAAGAAATGTAACACCTTTTCATTTGCAATGCTTCAACTACTAAGATACTGCATAATGAATGATCACACAATTATTCAACGAAGTAGAAAACAATTGTCAGAATCACTGTTTCATGCAATGATATTGATATTAATTCAAATAAAAAAAAGAATACTTCTATGATGAATAATTATCTCTCATTATTTGAGTATCGACAAATTTGAAGTATAACTGTCAGTGATAGAAGGATTCAGTCTTCAATAAATCTATGTTAAATGCATAAATTATTTGGCAGGTATTCGCTGTTTGCCTATCGTACTATTAATTCTTTGTTTTCAACAGACATCATCGGGGTGAATACTCTAAAATATTAACATGTCGTCAATAACGTTAATTGTTGAATGACTAAATTTTCTTCGCTTATTTGCCTAGAATTCTATACTATAATGTACTTATTGAAAATATCTTTTTTTTTGCTTTTCTAAAATAAGTATCAGAAAAAAAAGCGTCTTTAAAATTTAATTATAAATAATAGAAGATGAAAATTCAAGGTTTAGTGAAATTAATCTAGATCAGTGCCGAGATAATCCTCAGAAGAAATAAATTCGAGGCTGACGCAATCCTTTGCAATGACACATTCATGTTATATCATCATAACTTTTACGTAGTGACTATCAGATTTCATAGCACAACAAACATCATGTCGCGAAGTCAAAACGATATTCTTAGATAAACAATTAATTATTTAAAGTCAATCGGTATTAACAAAAAGAATTAATATTAGACAGATTTTTATCTGGCATTAGATGTGAAATAAAAATAAAAGGAATATAGAAAGATAATAAAAAAAAGTAGAGCGAGACTACGAAATACAGGAAATGTAAATAACGGGACTTACAGAAGACTAAATACAAAGTATTCCACTCAACTTTACGTTATTTTCCACAGCACGATGAATCGAAGATGAGAGAACATCATTGAAGAACCAGTTCATTCTTAATCTCTCTAAATATAGTCTTACGTATTGCATGCTTTAACACAAGACACATTTTGATTGACGGTAAACATTCGTCAAATTAGTATCAATGGAATAATTCTTACTAAGGAGGTGTAGAATTCTATTATCTTTTTAAAACAAACATAATTCTAGACAGTGAGGTTTCCATAACTTTCCTTATCGATAGAACGTTTCGACATAAACATACAATAAGAAGCCTTTGTCTAATAGTTCTTTGAAATAATGTTTCTTACATTAATTGCTTTGAATTATTCGAGGTGAAAGCAGAATTATGACTTTTACTGATGTTGATTGCCTCAATGTATACGGCCAATTAAAGACGTATTCAATGCTAAGAACTACATCAACAACTGGAGTTTCCTGACCAATTGTTTATAGGCATTTGTTCCGAAGGTAGTTTTGAACCTTATTTCACAAAAACGTCGAACAAAGACGAATGTTCTATCATCAAGATTCACAAACTACCAAAGAATTCATTTGGAAAAGAAAATATGTTAAGAGTTAACTTAACTTATGATTTCAATTTTCGGGTATTATTCAATTTATATTTTATCAACATGACATACGATTGAAACAAAAATTTTCAACAATATGAATAAATTTTCTATGACATAATTCACACATAAGAAAAAAATGAACATTTAAAATAAACAATATTTCTATTCATCCATATTTACATAAATTGGACATTTATACGGACCAAACATATATTTATAGGCATTCTTTTGTAACCAATCATGACCAATACAATCCACAAGTGGCATACGTTTTTTCGGATCTTTTTGTAAAAGCTAAAAATAGATATTTTATTTTGTTTGATCGTCCTAAATCAATTGAAACTTACATTGTCAATAAATTTTCTTGCAAGCTGAGAAAAATAGTCTGGAAATGTATAATTAATATTTGCAATTTTCACTTTTGTTTCATCATCGGTTCCTTCGAACGGTGCATGGCCGGATAGAAGTTCAAACGCAAGAACACCTACACACCAATTATCAACTTGATATTGATATTGTTTATGACCAACGATTTCCGGTGCTAAATAATCTAATGTACCACAAGCTGTTATATTCCTAAAAAAAAAACATAAAATTATTTGCTTTTAGTTAAACATGCAATTTACATTGTATCAACATGACGAATTTTTGTTGACCAACCGAAATCGGCTAATTTTAAATTTCCGCAACAATCAACAAGAACTAATAGAAAATAAAATAATTCATAAGATTCAATTTTTTTTCTTCAAATTTAATAATTACTATTTTCAGGTTTTAAATCTCGATGGATAATACTTTTACTATGACAATATTCTAATGCATGACAAATTTGATAGATATACTAGAAAGAAAGAAATTGTCAATATTCGAATTATAGCAGTCTTTCTTATTGCTTACACTAGCAGCTAAACGATTTGTAAAACGACGTAATTTTTGTAAAAATCGATAAAGTTGTCCATGTGGAGCATATTCAAGTATAAAATAAAAACGTTTCTCATCATGAAATACATCATACATAGTTAATATAAGTGGATGATTTAATTTAAAGCCTGATTCAGTTTCGATTTTAACTTGTTCAGCCATTGAATATTCATTGATTTTACTTTTATGAAGCATCTAAATATTGAATTGTTGAAAAAATACAAAAACAAAATCAAAATAATTTACTTTTAATGCACAAATAAATTTCGTTTTCTTCAATCGTGCTAAATAAACTATACCAAATGCACCTTTACCAAGTGGTCGACCGAATTCAAAATCATCAATTGTAAATAAACGATCTTCACTAAAAACAAAATCATTCATTCACATATGTATTGACTCTTCGAAAGAATTTACTTCAATGCCATTTTTCGTACACTATTAGCCATGCTGGATTCAAGATGAGATTGACGAATATGTTTTTGAAATAGATTACTCGACATTGGTGGTAATTGTAATTCTTCATCTTTGAGACTATTTAACCAATTTGGTAAATATGTATAGAGAGCATCACCATCACATTGTGCTACGTCAAATGGTACTTTAACAGTTTCGATATTCGAATAAGCCTAATATATAGATGAAAACATAACCAAAGAGAATTTCAATGGATTTAGTATTCCTACTGAATGATCTTCAGATAATTGTTCAGACATGGTGACGGAAGTGATTCGTTTTTTTTTCAATACACAAAAAATATCACGTCAAAGACAGGACAAAGGAGACCAGATTGTATGTAAGAACAAAGACGCGGGATCAGCCATGTCAGATGTTTGCCTATAGAAAATATTTATTTTTTCATACGAAAAAAACAAAATTTAATAAAATATTTGTCAATTCTATTAAATTTTGATTTACAGATATCGATTTATAATTTGATATTTTGGTTGACAGATGGCGTTAGCGGTATGACCATGCAAAAGTCAGATTTGTGCAAGCTATTTACATTTTACTTCTGGATTATCAACAGCTATATTTAGTACTACAATTAAGATTATGCTTTGGCGATAGGAACTAGATTGTAATCTCTGATGTCCCACAGTCTTTTGAAAATCATATTTTTTTCTCTCCTTTTACACAGATTCGTACTATTCTACACTTTGATCTCGCGATGATTTCCATTGAAAGAGCTGCATACGAATGATCGTAGCTTATCAAGCGATAGTTGAACTTCCGATGCAAAAGAAGCTTGAGTTACATCGTCTACTAGTTACCCTTCTAATTGCTATACGACTTTAAAGGTAGAAAAACTCCAAGAGAATCGTTTATTTTTGAACAAATTCATGTGTAACTATTGTTTAGCCAAAAAGTACGATTAAAATAACTGTTAGATATTGAAAGTTCCGTATAAATGATTTAATAGTCTTATTACTAATTAACCATAATGTGTCTAATTACGAAAAATTCTTTTTTTCACACTAGAGTTATGTTGCAAAAGTCAGTCGACTCTTCATAAGGTTATTTGTTTCTTGTGAGTAAGCTTTATCATATAGCTCAATTTTCTTCGTTAAAATTCAATAAATCGCTTCAAAGATGCCAATAAACAAGTTTGCTCTAAGACAATCTAATCGATCTAGTAATATGACCGTAGAGTTCAACGATGGAAAACTTCGAAATAGGAAAGACAGAATAACTGCTGCTCAAATAACGACAAGAACATTGCCGAACCAAAAGAAACGGATGTAATTATATAAGTGATTTTTTTCAAAAGCAAAATATATTAGATTCTCAATGTATTTGGATAGTGTGAAAACGTCTTGATCTCACATAAACTTAATTACGTCTGTTGACTGACAGAATTTTTAGTAAGAAGATTACTTCGAAGAGTTGTCAATTTTACTTTATAAGATGTAATTATTGTATTTACGACAAGCGAATATATTATTATCTTCTAGCTCAATCCTCAAGTTTAAAATTTTTACAAATATACATTCAAAAAAAAAACATTTTCCTTTCTAATATTGATATTTGACTATGACGTACTTGACAAATCCCATAGAGAACTTGAACAATATTTGCAAGTGAGAATACAGTTATGATAAAACTATGACACTGGAATTTTTATTCTGATTCATTTCGTATATATGTTATGAGGTTTGTTTTCTACAAAAAAAGAAAACTAACATCTGGTATTTTAATACAACAAAAAAGAAGGGCACCATCACCATTACCAAGACCTACAACAACAATAGTAACGAAAACAAAAAAAATATAAGGAAAGAGATAATTATAATAAATATATATATATATATATCTTTTTTTCTTCATTTGTGTTCATTATTATCGTCACTTGTAGCTGATTTTAATTTTTTTCCTACACGAATAGGTAGTATTCGTTCGATATATAAAATATGTGTTAATTGATCATCTTTCATTGAATAATTAGCTTCCCCTAATTCATACATATCTTTATCCGTTAATAACATGAGAAAAAATTTTATTTGACAATTAAGTATATCGCCGGCTCTAATATTACTTAATATGTTAAATGTTTCACCGAAACGTATAAAATCTTGAAAATTTTGTAATGAAGTTTCATACGGTTCGCCAGCTATGGTTGTCGATAGAACAAATCTTAAAAACATATAGGCACTTCTATTGATTGTATTGTCAAACAATGTTAATAAGGAATTCATATTACGCAAATTTTGTACATTCAATCGAATACTGAATGTCGATGGATTATATTCACAACTAAAATGTAATGTTGGATAGATATGTAGTTTTTCATCTTGTAAATCTTCTGCACCAAGATTTGTATATGCAAACGAATTGAATGATGATGAACCGTACGAACGACGAGGAAATGTTGTCGTTATTGAATATAATTGATTATCAGTTGAAGGCAAATTTTGTCGCACAGTTATAAAATTGTTATTTGTTAATAATGGAGGTTCACTTTGTTTAATACATGATTGTGACATTGATTTATCTACAGGCGAGCTTGGTATTGTTATAGATGATGCACGATAGAATGATGTCGAAAATTTACGTACAGATTCGGATAAAACTGGCCGAAGAACTTCAAAACGTTTCGATAACAATGGATCCCAGATGAATTGTTTGACGAGACATATTGTTATAACAATAATAAAAGCAATTAAACATGATAATGCAACATATGCAGACATATTAATATACGTTGATTCAGGATTGTCTTTCATTGGAAATAAAATTTAACCTAGAGACAAAATGGAAAAGAAACACGCAATAATTTATAAATATTTTATTAGAAATTCCAATCAGACTGATAAAAATAAATAAATATATGTATGAACCCTTTTAACCTTGACGTTTTAGAAAAAAAAAACCCTTCATGTAATAAATTTTTAGTTTTATTAAATATGATTGATACTTCGTCTCATTTTTTATTGCATGATAATTTTCGGAAATAAATAAACTATTTTCCTTCCTATTCTCATTCATCATTAGTGATAGAAGAAAAAGGTGATGATGAGTTCAATCATCGACAATAATACTCTCTATTAATGAAAATATACTCTTGTTGAACAGATAGATAAATTTACATTTGTTTTTTTTTGAAATCAGATGAAATGATTTAAAATAATCTTCCGAAGAAAATATCCTAATGTTAAATTCGCATTATCACTTTCGAGTATATTTCGCCTCTCAAGATTCGTAAGTGTTTATATATGTAATCTTCAGATTGTTCTTTTTCCTTAGAGAAGAAAACAAGAAGAAGAAGAAGACGAAGAAAAAGAAGAAAGAAAGAAAAATGCTAATGAAAAACTGTTATTAGACCTTAGCGAGAGATAGATAATATATATATATATATATATGACGGAAGAGCATTAGTTCATATACTTAATAACATGAAATAGCTTTTCTAGCTAAAGCCTAAAACGAGACGGATATATGCAATATTTGATGATTGAACGTTTGACTTTTTCCAGCTCTAATTGATTTCGTGACCGCGTCCCGTACTCTAAATCATGCATTAATTTGAATTTCGCTGACTGATGACGAGAAATTTGCACACACTCACACACAGACAGATATATACAAGCAGTGAATAGCAGAAAAAGTAAAAATAAAAATAAAAAAAATCAACAGGTTTCTGTTGACATTTATCATAAATCTGTCAATTCAAAACAAAACAAAAACGACTTACCAACACGTAGTCCATTTATGCGTTCCTTTCCAAGTTCGATTTGTATAAATTCGGGCGTTTTTGTGCGTATGTAAGAAAAGAAATTAAGATTGCTGAGAAACAACGGAAATGATAAGCTTTGCTGAATAACTAGTGCAGATAGATTTTTCTTGATACTTTATAAGACAAACGGCTTTTCCTATTTTACAATCGTCTATTGTAACTCTTTAATAGTAGCCGGGCGGAAACGGCGAATCTGCAGATAAATATAATGAAGTTTGTCTAGCTTTCTCTTCCTATCTTCGTCACTCACAACTCATCTCGTTCTTACTGTTACTGTTAACTACTGATGATGATGATGATGATGGATTTGTTGTTGTTGTTGTTGTTGTTAGTCTGCTTTTCTTTTTCTGTTCGATATGATCTTAGAATAAACTGAAAAAAAGACTGGCATACAACAGAATTGAAGAAATGATAATGACATTGGATGGCAAAGAATGAGTGAATGAATGCGTAAGAGCGGGTGGATGGATAGATAGATAGATAGATTGGTGGTGGGCGAATGAAAAAAACGAATGAACGATTCTAATTCATGACATCGTTACAAACTTTTTATCAGCATGTATAGAAAGTAACAAAACAATGAATATAATATTGTATCAAATGCGTAGATATTGACAATCGATTTACTATAATAAAAGCATATATCCGTCTTTGTCAAATATTCATTCAAATGCATAACATGGAAATAGAACGACAATCTTCGACGCACTCAATTGGTGCTCATAGATCATATATATATATATATATATATATATATATATACAAATAAAAGAAAGATTTATGATTGAAAATGACATTAAAATAGAATATCAAATATCAATCGCGTCAAATTATGATTTATCGAGGCAATTGGTTTAGAGTTTATTTCCTTTAGAAAGACAATAAATATAATTTTCTGTTCGTAAATGAGATTTTAACTATAGAGAAAAAAGACGTGAACCAAATGAAACAGTCCTATAGTTGTTCTATTTGAAGCTAAGCATTTTTAAATGATTTTTTTTGCAAGATTTCAATAGACATTTTCAGATATACAAAAAGAATATCGATAAATATATGCTTTTCATTTTCTAAGAAATATGATAGACGTTGAAGTGATTAAGAATTATTGCACCATCGCTAAAACTATTGATGCAAGTCTAATATTATTTAAAAAAAAAGCACGATCACCTATTGGAATGCGATTGCGTAAGACGTATCTTCGTATTTTCAAATTGTTTTTTTCTTTAAGATTAATTGTGAACAATTTATTCTACAAATTAGATATTAGAATTTTCTATTCAAACATAGGATCATGTCAAGTGCATTAGTTTTTGTTCTTAATCATCTATGATAGTAATTATTATAAATATTAATTAATTTCTGTCACAGATTTACTAGAGAAACATGCTTTTTTAATAATGATGAGAAATAAAAAAATAGCTTTTTAATTAAAATGAAGTAAGAAATAATTGATGATGTATTAATAATTTCAATGAAAATCCCACTGTAATGACAGAAAGATGAAACATAAACCAAGTTTATGACGTCAAATCTGACACTGTCGAATATTGCTATTGAAAACCCTGATGAATAGAAAGGATAACATTCATGATAGTTGAGTTTAGCAACGAAGAAGATTTGTTAAAGTAGAAAACAACCGCAGGCGAAATAGACATTGGTGAATAGTCAACCTCTATCATGGCTGTAATCTTTTTTATTAGAATATTCTCTATCTGTGATCAGACATTTACCTACCTACTGGAATGATTTCATTAGGTAATCTAGATAATTATTGTGTCTATAGTTTACGTTTAACTTTAATGAAATCTGACGTGCTTTCGGCGAATTGTGTTGTTTAATAGAACGACGAAGGAAAAACAAAACGGTGTTTAACTTTGTGAAACCTTTTGATCATACAAATAATAAGAACAAATACTGTAGCAAAGAAATTTTACCTTTTTGCCTACGCAAACTTCAATTATTATCAACTCGGAACAAAATGATTTCTGCTGATGGAAATCAGTCTTTCTTTTCTGTTTACTGTCAATTAAAATGGAGCGTAGGAAATTCTTACATATAAAATAAAAAACGCGGAAATATACAGAACAACTAAGAGATCACAGCATAGTTCAATTTTGATCCAATAGAATCGAACGAAATTTGAATTTCATTTGAGTAGTAAATTGTTTAGCTTTTCGTAAAAATCGATATTCCATGCTCTATGATTCAAGTTTCTTGATTTTTTGAAGAAGAATTTAAATTTTATGACAGCCAAAGCATATCAACATATTTTGAAAACAACAGAGTTCTTGGTACGATTTTTGTTACTGAAGGAAGAAACCATTGTAACTCGACCACGAGTCTGTTCTTTCCTAGAAATAAAATTAGTCGATAAGACGCACAAGTTTTCTATCAACATTATTGTTTTATAACGATCCCGATCATTTTTCAGAAACAGCCAAATCGAAATTCAATCGAAATAGATACGAATGTCAATAGATTTTAGTGATAATTAGGAATAAATCCTTGTGTTTTCAGTAAATTTTCAACATCGACGAACTAGGCTATTTGCAAATAGTCTTGTTCAAATAAGCGAAGAAACCTATGTGAAAATCAAAGCAGAATCTGTCGAACAGGATGTCTACACTCCGATCATTAGTCTTTATTCAAAGAAACGTCATATCGAGCCAGAGGTTCTTTCAAGAAAAAAATAATTGTTATGAAAAAAAAGCGAATGAAACATCGTGCATATGGTAGAATGACGATAAAGAAATAAAAGAATATGAGTTTTGTCCTATTGCTGATCTCTAAAAATATCGATTCTTTTACACTAAAATAAAGTTAATTATATTTGATTGCAATATCGAGCAAGTACTAAGTTGAGTTGCGAGAGGCGAGATTCACGTCGTGCTTCGCATCACATTAAAGATTGCAGTCGTTGACTTTTATATTATGTAATCCCTCAAACTTTCCTCTATACAAATATCACAGTATTATCATTGGTTAAGTTGGCTTGGATTCCCGCCAACAAAATGACTTCGAGCAAGCTTCTTTAACTCAATAAAGAATCAATTGGTTCAAGAATCTAGTCGACTTTAATTCTTGATTTCAAATCGAAAACATATCAAAATAATCAAATCCTTCTATTTTCTTCTGTAATATTTCAAGGCGAAAAAAATATTGAAATCAGAAAAAAATATTCCCATATGAGTTTTTCATTTGTGAAAAATTTTCGAACAAACACAAGAGTTAAAACGATTTCAGTAGTTTGAATTCATCGAACGTTTAATCTTAATTCTATCTTCCGGGTGAACGAAGCACAGATGGCCAACCCGGTTTCATTTTTGATGCATTGCAAAATAACTGCAGAATTTTTGAAAGGTACTGCACACTAAGTAAAGCCCTATTTGACTCTCGCTCGTATTTCTTTATCATAACTGGATATGGGTCATTTTGCATTTCAGATATAACTAAATTAAGTAATTCATTACCGTCGTGTGTTGATTGAGTTTCTCAAGGGGGAAAAGGTGGATTTTGGATTTTTGGATTTTCAAAACCCAAAAATTCATACCGTGAATAATGGAGTTTCCATCTAAACTTTTTTCCATATGTAGGTCTCATGATCCTTAGAATATTCTAAAATTTTCAGCGTAAACGGATGTTTCCTTCTCGAGATAATGAATGCGCAAGAAATGCTTATTTCACGGCACGGTCAGAGAATCCATGTTTTTTTTGAAAATTCAATATTTTAAGAAGAAAACATTTGTTCGAGTTGAAACTTTTAGGATCTTCTATGGACCATGAAACCTATATATGGGAAGAATTTAAGATCGAAACTACGTCATTCACAGGGGGGGGTTGCTTTTCAATTTGGGGATTTTTAGGATTTTTGGGATTTTGAAATCCCAAAAATCCGCCGTTTTCCACTTGGAGTTTCTTGTAACATACATTCAACTATATACGTACAGGGATCAATTACAGCTTCTTTCATTATTTAATATGTACATATTC